ACCCATGTCGGCACACCCCTCACACGCTTCGTGGCTCCATAGGGAGCACCACCGAAGGCTACCCAGCATGCGCCCCGGCCACTGATTGCGGCAGACCCCTCACACGCTTCGTGGCCCAATAAAGAGCTTCACCGAAGGCCCCACTGGCAGTCCGCATGCGTCCCAGCCGACCATGTTGGCACACCCCTCACACGCTCCGTGGCCACATAGAGAGCTCCATCGAAGGCCCCAGTGGCGCAGCCCGCATACGTCCCAGCCATGAATTTCGGCACACCCCTCACACGCTTGGTGGCCCGATAAAGGAGCTGCGAAGGTCCCAGTGGCGCAGCCTGCATGCGTCCCCGCCACCTATTTCGGCGCACGCCCCTCACACGCTTCGTGGCCCCATAACGGTTCGTGGCCCCAAATGGATGATAGCCCCGTTGGCAGCGCCCGCATGTCGGCCCCGCCCCATTTCGGTACACCCTTCACGTCTTTCGGTACACCCCGAAGACGACACTCATAATGACAGTACTCACAACTGCGTATGTTTGGTTCCATCGCCGAAATCGCAAGGTTTACGCCACGCTCGTGCTTCCGAGGCCACAACACCTGATAAATTGCTGCCGCGCCCCCGACGCCGCCATCCCTAGCACATTACGATGCGGTCCTGCCCCCGAGGCCACACGTTGCTGAAAACTCGTATGAGTTCGCGCTCCCGACACCACACGTCCCTGTATCCGCGCTCGCGGAAACCCGCACCCACCCAACGGAAGCTGCCCAATGTCACCCCGCCGGCTCAGAGCCGAAGGACTCCACTTTCCTGTGTCGGGATGTGTGCTCGGGGAGCGAATCTCGGTCCCCAAAGGATGTTCTGTGACTTGTGCTCTGGACCCGAGGCCACGAATCCGCGAACTTAGCGAGGGATGCGCGATCACAAAGCCGTGAACCCTCGTAAAGCACAACTGAGGCGCGCCACCGGCCAGGCAGCAACCAGCCACAACCAACTGCAAACCATATACTTAACTCCAGGGCCAACCAACCGAATTGCCAGCCAGCCAGCCGACAAGCTAGCATATAAACCTTAGGTCGGGCATGTCCTCGTACAGGCGGATTTTGGGCGAAACATAAAACATAGCCAAACAAACTCAAACATAGTCACAAAATAATAAGAAAATCGTCCGCAGACTATTTCTTGATTATTTCTTAATATTCCTCCTCTAGAGGGACACGCCCGACTGAATATCAACCAACCGAATATGCGCAACCGTGCAAGCACTCAGCGGAGCGGGGTGGGGCCGGCGGCAGAGGGCGAAGCCCTCCAAAGAAAGAGCAGGAGACAGAGGCAACGCTCAAACTCAACAGGCTGCGGCTTTCTGTCTGCGCAAAGCGAACGACAGGCAGGCGCAGAGCACGGGCAGAGGAGGATCCTTTGGGAGTCAGAGTCGAAGGAGCAGCGGCATCGAGGTGCAGAGGAAGGGTATGGAGGGGGGTGAGGAGCAGGAACAGAGGGGGGAGGCGAGACGGGAGAGATGGGGGAGGAGCAGACGGAGAGGAGGATGAGCATTGGCCATGGGTTGCAGGAGGCAGAGGCAGATGATTGGTGAGGAGGGAAGGTTGAGGAACAGTGGCAGGAGGGAGGGGCTGGAGCAGAGGGGGGAAGAGGAGAGCAAGTATTGCGATCATGGAGAGTGAAGGAGGCCGTGGTACAACACATCTCTTTTGCGCTCCCACAGCGCCCTCGGTATTACCTGGTGCGGGCTAGACTGGAGCCAGGTCGTGGGGAGTTCGTAGTGCACTTCTCCAGAGAGAGAGAGAGAGACAGAGAGAGGGAGAGAGAGAGGCAGACTGACAGAAACAGAGAGGAAGGAAGAGAGGGAGAGGGAGGGAGGGAGAGGGAGAGGGAGAGGTAGAGAGGTAGAGAGGTAGAGAGAGAGAGGATAAGGCTGCATAAGATGGTCGTCGCCCTCGTCGTCATCGTCGTCGTCCTCCTCCTCCGACCCCTTCAGCTTCGTGATGCTTGGGCCCCTGGAGATTAGGAGCCCCCACCCCCAAAAGACCACCGCTCCGCGCAGGGCTCTGCCCTGCAGTCGGGGGCATCCAGGAGGGGGGCGTCCAAGAGGCGGGGGGGCGCGAACCATGGCCGGCGGCATGTGCGCGGCCCAGGGGGGGGGGACCCAGGGACGCAATGAGGCAAGAAGAGGCGCCGTGAGATCTGGAGAGATCTCCTGGCCCCCGCCATGAGATCCACACCGCCCCTGGTCCTCACCCCGGGGCTAGGTGAATTTCAGGAACATCCGAACTGGAGTTACAACCTGGGTATACTTCAGACAACCAAGATACTGGTCCTTCCCCCTCTTGGCTCTTGGCCGCCCCCGATGCAGGCCCTCGGGGCCCCGAGGCCGGAGCACAAGAGCCGCCCGCCGGGGGAGGCCGGCGGCGGCGAGGCGGCGCCCGCGCCGTCGATCGCTCCTCTCCGCCGCGCCGCGAGGCCGTCCGGAGCCCCCTCTGCCTCGAGACGGGCCCCCGGGGTCCGGTCGGGCACGTCCTCTCACAGGCGGGTGCTGGACGAAGAAGTAAACGTAGGCAACCAATTAGCAGCAAAGATTTTCAAGTACTCCAAAACTCTTCCCCCG